TTTTCTCTAATTGTTTTATTTTTAGGCCAAAATCCTAGAGGTAATTTTTATTTTTATTTTACTTGGATTTCGGTTTTGTTTTAGTCTAGGGTTTCAAGGGATTTATCAAATTTGATGGCATTTTGACAGCGCGGTCGATAAGTAAGAAGAGAAGAAAGCCCTAATCGGTCAAAGAACCCTCAGGACGCAACGACACAGGCTCCCCCCCCCCCCCCCCCCCCCTTTTCTCTAATTGTTTTATTTTTAGGCCAAAATCCTAGAGGTAATTTTTATTTTTATTTTACTTGGATTTCGGTTTTGTTTTAGTCTAGGGTTTCAAGGGATTTATCAAATTTGATGGCATTTTGACAGCGCGGTCGATAAGTAAGAAGAGAAGAAAGCCCTAATCGGTCAAAGAACCCTCAGGACGCAACGACACAGGCTCCCCTCCTATTCTGTAGATTTTTGAAAAACCCTTGCTTTAATCTGTCTTGTAGATTGGAGTTTACATCTGATGAACTTTTGTTTGTCTTCATTTATTCAATTTTAGGCATGATGATCTTGGAGCCGCCTCCTTTCTGAGGTATCCTCTCCTCATGTCCTTAAGTAGGGCTTTTTATTCCCGAATTTCTTGGATTTAATAATTTCTTAGGCGATATAAAGCAGAAAACGATGATTTTGACTGGATTTTTGTTGATTTTACAGTCAAGTGGAGCACAATGGAAATCAGCAGTATCTGTTGTTGGAATGTCGCGCATGAATTCTCGGTATGTTTCTCTATTTGGTTTCCGCTGAATTCATGTTGAATGTTCCTTGGTCTTTCTGAAATTTCCTTTTTTTATTTTTTACTGTGTTTTGCTGGTCTTTTTGGTTTGTACTTGTGAAAAATGGCCTTATTTTCACTTAGGCTAGTGATTTATGCTCTATTCCGTATTTCATTCACATGTATGATGAATACCTTAATAGCATTCCTCAACTTTCAATATTGGTATGTCACTGTGCTAATTAGATTCATCCTAAACCAGTAAGGACTTATTGGATTTAACTTCAACCATTGTTTTTAAAAAAACCTCCGCCTAGTCCGCTTAGGCGTACGCCTAGACCTAGGCGGTACCTAGGCCGTCTAACTAGCGCCTAGGCGGTATTTAGGTTGCCCATCTAGATTTTACGAGCGTTTAGGGGAGCATTGTCTGCTTACGTGGATTACATCCTGTAGGCATTGGTTGTGATTTTGTGTTGTAGCCTACACGTCCTCCAAACCCCATTAACCTCCAAATATGAACACCTCCATTACCTCCTCCGATCTTCAGCAAAACCTCATCGATCGCCACTTAAATGAAGAAAGAAATCCGTCTAGATACTAGTCTGGCATCTAAGCTTTCTGTAACATTGACATTCACTATCAATTATTATAATTAAAAATAAAAAAAGAAAACATCTTACTATCTTAGGTTCTAGCATTGTTAATTATTATTTTGGCTATTTAGTATCTAAGTGTGCATGATTTATTATGGAACTAAGATTGCTATCTTTTTTTTTTGAAAATTTATATGAATTTAATACATATTTTTATCAATTATGATAATTAAATAATTTAAAAATAGTCAAACACCTGGGAGCTGCCTAGGCGTATGCCCAGGAGTCTAGGCGCTAGGCGCTCGCTCAAGCGCCTAGTCTGCCTAGCGCCTTCTGAAACATTGCCGAGCTCCCCTGATCTCTGTAACTACTAACAAGGTAAAGAGTACTTCTTAAATATCTATTTAAGTTAGTTAACAACAGTAACTTAAACTTAAGAAGTGTAAGTTAACAGTAAACTTAAGTTTGAGTTTAAGTTAAACTTAAGTTTAAGCTAACAGTAAACTAGTTTAAGTTTAAGTTAATATTAAGTTTTTTGTTGATGGTAAACTTAAGTTTAAGTAAACAGTAAACTTAAGTTAATAATATTTTAGTTAACAGTAATTAGTAAACTTAAGTTTAAGTTTATTGTTAACTTAAACTTAACAGTAACTTATAAGTTAACAATAATTTGAGTTGAGAATGAATTTTTCACTGTTAAGATGAACTTATAATTTGAGTTGAGAAGTATAAACATACAAATAGCTATTGTAATTGGTAAACCAAGCAATTTGTATTGGTATTTTAGTATTTATGCATCTTCGATTGATATTTATATATTATTATTATAATATTATATATATATATATTATATATATATATATATATATATAATATATATATATATATATTCCAATAGATATCACATTAAAAAAATAAAAAAGAAAACAAAGTACCAGAAAACCGTTTAGTGGCGTCCGCCTAGGCGACTAAGCGCTAGTTCCGACGCTTAGAAGCGCCCAGTCGTTTAATGAACATTGACTTCAACCACTGTCTAAATGAAACTTAACCTCTAAGAAAGCTTAACGCCCCCCCCCCCCCCCCCCCCCCCACCCAAACCCAACCCCACCAAAAAAAAATTTCAAACCCAAAAATAAAAATAAAAAAGGCAGACATCAAGCTTACGATCTTATTCATGCTCGATGAGGCAGTGCTCAGTGCTGCAGGCTTCATCATCTCTCAAGCCTTCAACAAAAATGGCACTGACTGCATCCCTGAGGCTGTTTGGTTCACGGTATTCAACCTACATTTCTTACTACAAGTTGATTTTATGCCTTACACTGTTTTGTATACGTTCCACCTGAACCTCTTGTTTTCTTGTTAGTTTTGCAGACTGTTCTTCTTCTCCTAGATGGCAACACATTGAACTACTTGGGAAAAAACATCTCGATCAACCTCATCTTGGTCATAATCACTGAGGTCGTGCTTGTTAGAGGTGCTGAGTAGTATAGAATTACAATGGGCTGGTAAGTCAGCTGAGAACATGTCATACTTCATTCAATATTTTGGTTCCGACTCTATTGCTCACGTTGCACAACTCTTGTAGGATCTACAGGATAAGCTTCACCCTGGAGGCCCATTCAACCTTCTAGGGCTTGCGAACGATCCTGACCCGGCAGCGATCCTCAAGGTGAAGGAGATAAAGAGTGGGTGGATTGATGGTACCAAACGAGCGGTCTCAGACATTTTTTCCTCTGATGGTGCTTTTATGGACTATTGATAAGTCATGCATTGATTATTATTTCATGATACATCACTGGTGTTATAACAGACTTCTTCATTCAACTAAAGATTTTCCTGTAAATTTGTTTCCTTATTTAGGTTTTGAAATAACTTTTATTTAGTTGAGTCCTAATATTTTTAATGTAATATGAATGAGGTATTTATTTCTAAATGTTAATGTAATATGTATTGCATCAAAAAAGGTTCCTGTTAACTGGCTTTTGACGTTATACCTATGCTCACATGTGTTTCTCACGCGTAAGACAGCCGTCAAAACGGCTAGTTCCTTCTATAAATGAGGATTGTTCCGTGTGCTTGCGTTCAAAAGGTCAAAGAGAAAAGGGGAAAAGGAGAATTAGAGGTAAAATCATTCCTCTTCTTCTTCTTAGTTTTCCCCCTTACTGTTATGATTTCTTTAGGGTTTATATGAATTGATAGTTCTATGTGGCATTTTGCAGCAGTAGGACGATCAGCAAGGAGAAAGAAAGGACCTAATTGGCTAAACTAAAGAACCCTACGGAAGCAGGAGATACAGATTTCCCCCCTCTACCTAATTGTTCTCTTTGTAGCCCATAACCATAGTGTAAGGCTATCTTTTGGATTGGATTCTGTATCTGATGAATTTCTTTTGTTTTACTTTCTTCAATTTTAGTAATGTTTGGTTCCTTAGACATCTCCTTTATGGGGTATGCTCTATCACGTTCTTAGTCTACCGTTCCGAGAAAATTATTAAATCTGATGTCATTTTCTACATTGCGATGGATCAGTAGGAAGAGAAAAAAGCCCCAGAGTATTTTGTATTGTATTTCATTTCTGACAGGTTAATGTATAGCCTCAATACATTCTTGGTGCAAATCAATCAGAGAAAAAAAAAAAAAAAAAAAAAAAAAATCCAAAACCTGTAATCGCTTAGGAATGCATGAGGGAATGCATGAGTATTTCTACAAAAAAGGGCATTTAAAATCTACCAAGTTTAAAGATGTGGAGGGGAAATTTTTTATATCTGGAGCTGACGCTAGGCCTGCATAGTGCATACTAAACAATGTAGTTTGTCTATGTACCCTGCTTGTTTTCTTGTTCTTGTGTCCACTTAGCACCCCAGTCTGGATTATAAAAAGAGAAGAGGAGTAGCCACCCGTCACTCCTTACCCTCACCGTGCCAATATATGCCTATAATCAGCTTGTCGAGCCATTTTGAAGCTCAAGGATGCTTTATGCACACGCTTTACAGTACGTATTTCAGAAATCAAGAATACCGCTTTTATTATTCTGCAGGTCAGAGGCTCACTTTGAATTATTTGGCTTCTCTTGTCAAGTTGAGTGGCTCGTTAAAAATGACAAAACACTGGCAGATGAATGCAGGTGCTGCTATGCTGAGCTATTGATACAGAAATGTAAGAGTGTGTGAATGATGTACTAAGATAATATCAGCACTGCATGTGTCTTTTCCTCCATTTGTAAGTCACGGATTATTTAATTTTTTTGTACGTTTATTAATGTACAACAGTTTAAAGTTTGATAATTAAAATTTGTGTTCAAAATTTGCTTTAGTTGTTGACTCATAAAACTGGAATTCTCAAATCTGACAATCATGGTTATTAAATTCTCTAATTTAGTAAGTTCAGATCTCTTATTGAAAGAAACTTTGTAGATCCTCTTTCTCTTAAAATTAAAATGTAGTAGATTATTTTCTTATTGTGTTGATATGCTCAGTTCCCTATGAAATTTATGCTCATTCCTTTTATTTCAAGAATGAACCAGATGCAGAGCTCTAATCTGTAATTCGCTCCACCCCTCTCTGGACAGCTTCCCAGTTATTGCTGACTGGTTTGTGGTGTGATCTAACCTGCATCACCAAAACTGGTGATCTGATAAATGCAAGAAGAGTACCATTTGACTAATTGATTTGCTAAGCTGTTTAGCTATCCTTGGCGCTAATATTTGCCCTTTTCTTAATAAACTTACTTTGCAGTTTTCAGACGAACATTATGGCTATCTGATTTGCAGTTTTGAACTCTAATTGTTTAATACAATTAGAACTATGATCATATTTTTTTAATCTAATAGTTTTCTCTCTCTTTTTGAAAAGACAAGAGCACCTTTTATCATAACCCTTAATTTTATGTCTTCAAATTTATGTTTATCTCACCCTTGTCACATGTACCGATGTACAGAAGCAGACATGCATAATTATTGAAATGACCCAAGAAATTCTCGCAAGTTCACCACGATCCTATATACTGTTTCAATTTACATTACCTCCTTCGCACCTCATACATTCAAAGTGCTGTACCACTTATTTATACCCATATCATGAGCCAACACATACTGTGCATTTTGTAAGCTTGCTTTTGATGTTAAACAAGTATGGTTTTATTATCTCTACTATTGGGAAATTTATAAGGCCAAAAAGCGGGTCTGAATGATCAACATGTAGATTTTAGCTAATATTTCTTGTACTTTATAAGGCCCTTTTACTTTGTCTATTAGCATTTTAAGAACATAACTCATCTCTATATTATCTCTGAAAGTATAGAGACACTAGTGCAAAATGCATGGTGCACTCTAGTGCCTTGTTTACAAAGTAGTAATCCAGAGTGGAAGTAGTACCATACTTCCATTTTGGGAGGATGACACATTTTGTTGGAAAATTGGTAGTAACAGAGTAGACCACAGCTTCCTAGTACACAGGTTCATGCAACATCTGGTTTCATGCATGTATGCATCATGTCAATTTATGCACACAATTTAAGATTGGATATATAGCAGACTTCGCAGCTATGCGTACTTACAAATTTATTGGTCCATTGCGCGCATATGCATTTGAAGATTTGACTTTCATGCTCATACTTGAGTATTAAAGCAGAATGGATTAACAAGTGGATGGTGTTATGCATCTCTTCGTACAAGTGTTTGAGTGCAAATTCTATCAAAATTCTTGTGGGCGTGACAGCCAACATCTTTTATTGTAACACTTCTACTGATCCTAATAGATGTGTTTCATCCTAAAGAGACTTAAACATATATTACATGATAAATTAATACGTAAGTTGGTGTATACATATATTCATATGTGTATTTTGTTTAATGTATTTAAGACCAAGAACAATGTGTATCACTAGGACATTATATATGTAATTCTGCAGTAGGCAAGAATAAGCAATATTAAGCATCATGTATGTCCCTTTTGCTCGATGAATAGCACAATGTCTTGTGACAATTTGTAATATCCTGAATTTTCTTGTACCGCCTGATTAGTCATTCGCTATGTTGCACTAATACTACTTGGATAATCCAATTAATACTACTTGGATAATCCAATACTTGATGAATAAAAAATTATTACATATTCCTACATAGTAAAGGGTATTTGAATGTAGATGCACTTACATTATTTCTCCGTTTTGTGAATGAAGTATGATTGCTCACATGATAGTTCAGTTATATAACTTAGAAATATCTTTACATTCTTTAATTAATATGTTTTTAATGCCAATTGTCTTAAGCATGCATATTATAAGTAATTATATTAGTTCAAACAGCCACACAGACGCTTATGTAAGTTTATTATTGTCTTGTCCATGACTTACTTGATTGCGGACATTGAAGCTTTTATGGTATTATACATATATCTTCTCTCATACCTGTTTAGGAATTACCCAGGTCAGTTGAATTAAAAAAAAAAGATTCTGTAACCTTTGGAGTTAATTAGTTTTTGTGTAGTGAGTTTACTGCATAAGTGTCGGTCGAAGACCTGTATAAGTGATTAGACGATGATGGTAAATATTTTAGAATATCCATGTATACATTTATATAAGAACATATGGAAAGATAATATTACGTGCATATGAAAAATTGGTGAGTCCCCTATCTTCCCAATAATTATGGACAATGAATAAAAGGAAACCAAGAGAAGTAAAAAAAGGAAAGATACTTCAAGGCGTTTAAATAGGATTAAAAAGGAGAAGATCTGGTGGAAAAGGAAAAAAGAGGTGTTAGACGGCCGGAAGAGGGAAGAAAGGAAAGAAACAAGGATCGGGTCATCTTTTGAGGTAATCCACAAAACTGCCATACTTTCTTATGAAATTTGTGGCTAGATCGCGTTTATCGATTGAAGTTTGTCAATATTTTGATTTATGTCTCGATATTGTGTTTTGTCTCAATATTGGATTTTGCCTAAATATAGATTTATGTCCTTGTCCTTAAGATTTTAGATTTGGTTGTAAAAGGGCATAAAATATCCATTAACCCTCATCAAAACTTCAAAATTTTGATGTAGTGATACAGTTTAAAATGTCATATCAAATCAACGAGGTTTAGATCTATCCGGACTAACTACGCGGACTCGGAAAAAGTTACAGATCCACTTTGCTAGGATCCAGCCAGCAAAATAATGCAACATGTGTTAAGAGTAAATGTATTTCTTATCCGTCACCAAGAGTCCAAGACTTCGGAGCTTTAGTGTAATGGAGGGTCTCAAGAAAGAGGTCTTGCCAACACAGTGATCTTTATGCGTGATTTGAGCTCTATTGTAGACAGAAAATACATAAAGTTCCTTTACTTTTAACTCTTGTTCTACTATTTTAAAATTTTAGTTTAATCTTAATATTTTATTGAGCATTATTAATTAAGCCCTTGAGTTTCAAGGAAATTGTAAGAATCAATGATCTTTTTAGGGGAGAATTTTTTTAGGTTCCTAGATTCTTTTTGACACTTCCTCTTCTTGTAGTTCTCAGAGTTGGTCTATTGTTATTATTTTCTATAGTGATTTGGGAATTGAAAAGTATCATCTCAAAGGAAGCAGCAATTTTGTTGCGTACTTCGCAAGTTATATGGTTTGTTTTGTGAGTTGAAATTTTCTCCTTCAAATATAAAATGGCTTCAACTTTCAGCCTATATTATCACTTGTTTTACTTGGAATTTATTTGATTATCATTTATGATTAGAAGTGTTATGTCACTTATTATGATTATGATTTATAATTAGAACTGGTAACTTGCATTCCAAGTACATATCATCAGTCTTATTATCCTTTGGAAGTTATCTAACTTATGTAGAAATAATGAAATCATGCATTTCATAATCATTCATTTTCTGATTGTCATAGGACAAGGTCATATACACGAGCAGTGTATTATGAGTAATGTTACTAATGTATTATGAATTTTACGTTCTGAGACACATCTGGAGGTATATACTAAAGGAGGCATCATGACTTGTTCAAATAGCGCGAATCTCATGTCAATAATGCCAGTATTGCAGGTGTTGCATGTATGAGATTCAACTTTGTACTGCAGTTCCTATGTGATTATGTTGTGCAATGTCATTGGTAACCTTGCTGTGGGCTACCAATGTAGTTTCTGCCATACAATTTGCTTTTCAACCCATGCCAGCTGAGAAAAGTTACTTGTGACTCATAACTACGTTTCATTTTGAATGTACAGAAATAGAAATTCTATTGTGAAGCATCGTTTTTTGAAAGCACAATTTCAATGCAGTTTTGGTTTGGGAACTCGTACATAGATGCCATGGATTATACACTGATTAGTCGGGTTATGTCCAATTAACCCATGCCAGCTTAGAAAAGTTACTAGTGATTCATAACCACGTTTCACTTTGAATGTACAAAAATAGAAATTCTATTGTGAAGCATTGTTGTTTGAAAGCACAATTTCAATGCAGTTTTGGTGTGGGAACACCTAAGCACAATACATAGATGCCATGGATTATACACTGATTAGACAAGTTATTTCCAATTATGTAGAAACAAAACTTTTAATATATAGTGTTGAAAATCCCTAAAATCATGGAAATAGAAAATTTTGAAAAAAAATGATTCAAATTGTAGCTTACAAGCAATAGCATTAAGCCAATGATTGCCAAAGGATTGGAATCATTGGAGGAAGACTAATGGACTGAGGAGAGAGACTTGTCTGAGTATACAGGGAAAGATCATTAAAGAGAGAGTGGGACAAGAGGATTGGTGGTTGTAGCGAATGTGGAATTGTGGATATGGCGGAAGAATGGGAGAGAAGAGCGAGCGGGAGGCAGTGTTGGATACAATGATGAGAGAAGAGGAATTGCTGCCGTTGGAGCAGGAGGAGGAGGGAAAAATATATATATATATATATATATATATATATATATATATATATATATATATATATATATATATTATATATATATATATATATATATATATATATATATGAGAATAATGGAGGTGAGCTGGCAGCTCACCTCTCCCCATGAGCTGCAAGTATATGACATGTGAGCCCCACACCGATGTGACTAGTAGGGGGCTCACATGTCATACACTTGCAGTTCACGCGGGGAAGTGAGGTGCCAGCTCACCTCCATTATTCTCTCTCTCTCTCTCTCTCTCTCTCTCTCTCTCTCTATATATATATATATATATATATATATATATATATATATATATATATATATATATATATATATAATATATATACTTATATATATTATATATATATTATAGTTTGAGAGGGTGGGTGCCGTGTTTACTGAAGTAGCTTGATTTAATTTGGATACAGACATTTACTGGGAAACTGTCGATTTTTTTTGGAATGAAATTATTTTGAAGGAGGTCAAATATAAATCGGATGTGGAAATTTTATGATTTTTCTTTTTATTGGTTTTCGATGGAACTTCTGTACATATTGTGATTGTAGCATTTAATTCCTTTTAGAATGTTATATTGTTAGAAATACTAGAAACGCCACATAATTATTTAGTTCCTACATGGACGGGATTTGTGTCTTTACAGTATGTTCAGGAGATACTTGCCTATCTCGAAAATTTCAAAATCCCCTGTTGTGGAAACTATGAGATAATGACATGCAATTTGCACCGACAACGGTGTCGTTTCTGTGGGCTATTGCACACTTGTCTGAAATATTTGTGCTGCTAGACAAACTGAGACCTCTCTGTGTTATGCAGCACCCAGGCAACAGCTGCAATGTTCTTTAGATTCTGATGTCATCCTAACATTAAATACATCTCATAAGATCTATAAAAAAAAGGAATGAGGATTCAGCTTTAGGGGGAAAAAGGTAAGCAATTCCAGTTTCTAAATAACCCCTTGGGATCGGAATTGCGTCTCCTGACGTCAATCCCAGGATAGAATAAAGTTTTGTTGCAGGAAGTGACTGGAATCGAAAAGGCAAGGTGAGTTTATTGTAATCAATGACCAAAGGGTCCTATTTAGCAGTGTTGATAGCAAGTCCTAAAGATTTTCCTGAGGAAATTTCACTAATTATTTAATAATATTTTTCTCTTTTTATTTATTTATTTATTTTCATTTCAGAAAGACAAATGATGACGACTGAACAGGCTTCATCTTCAATGGGACTTAGGTTCCCTGGTAGGTCTTTAACATTCGCATAAGTCTCTACTTTTGCAGCTTTTTTTCTCCCATTGGTGTTGATAGTTGCTGCGGTAAGTGTCTTAAATAGTAAAATTAGATTGTATTTGTGTTGGTGAAAAAAGTGATTTTTTTAATGGGCATTGGAAGATTATCTTTTGTGTAGAGACCTTTAAGATCACTTATATCAATTATATTCATGGGCTTTCGTAACTTGATACTTTTAGCAACTGAAATCTGCCATGGTATTCTTGTTTATTTTCAACTTAACATGGCATTCCATTTTTTTCTTACAAAACAATTAATGGCCTTACATTTCTTGTATCATATATGTGCTTTTGGAATGAGTAGGAGGTTAAATAGTTGCTGGTTGGGTGTTAGATTCCACTTATATTTTGGTGGCTTATCTATGAGTGTTTTTAATAAATATCAGTAACCAATTTCCTTAATTTTGCTCCATTTCTATTCTGCGTGCATATAATCAAGAAAGTTGTTTGACAGAACATGCAGTGAAATAAGAACATGTTGTACAAAGTGACATTGTTTATGGTTTTAAAATTTAAAGTTCTTAGGAAAATTGTTTTTAAAAAGCTCAGTAACATCCTTCCCATTGTTATGCACTATGTCAAGTCGGTATACTTGAACATCTTCATCCTTTGGGGATTTCTAGTTCATGACTATACAAGGGTTACACTCATTATATGGCTCAAGTGTCTTTAGCTTAGAGCTTCTCTGAGTGAAGATTTGCCAATTTGTTAAATGGGTCTCAAAATTTATGATATTCATTTTGGTATAGATTTGTTATGGTTGAAACTCATGCCCAATACATTGCAGAGACTCTTCTAGAGAGCTAGAGTGGAAAGGATAGTTTGTATCATATTTTACTATTTATCTGTTGTTATTGCGTGCTTATAGCCTTAAATATTCTCCAGTCACTTTTGGACTAATATACTTTAATTTTCAGAGTATATACTTAGTCCTAGCAAATTCCCAGAAATGACTCAGGAAGAGAAGGAAGAATTTATTGAACAGCTCTGTCACAGCTCTGAAAAAGCACAAGAGAGACTTCGTTCCTTGAAAAGAAATGAGATAATAGAGCTCATCAATATTGAGAACGGAAGGGAGAGAAAATTTACCAGTATACCTAAGCGACTGCTTATAAATCACCTTTGTGGTATCATCTCTGATAAGATCAGTGAAAATGAAAATCATGCAGTTGCTTCTACTGATCTTGTTGCTCCATCCTCAACCCTGCCTTTACCTCCACTTAATGCTCCAACTTCGGTTAGAAGCAAAAGAAAGAGTTGCAACCCGTCTCCCCTGCCTTCGGTTAAATATTGTGATAACTCAGCCTGCAGGGCTGAAATGAAGTTAATGGATAATTTTTGCAAGCGGTGTTCATGTTACATGTGTAGCAACTATGATGAAAATAAGAATCCAAGTTTTTGGTTAGTATGTGAGTCGAAGACTAGTTCACAGGATAATACATGCGGCTTATCTTGTCATCTTGAGTGTGCCCTTAAGGATGAAAGGGAAGGCAAAGATTTAAAAAGAAGAGGCACAAAGCTAGATGGGAGCTACCAGTGTGGAAATTGTGGAAATGTGAATGATCTGATCAGGTAACTTCAGTATCTAGCCCTGAGCTCTCAGTTATTTTGAATTTGGTGTCTTGTCCACTTCTTTGAATATTTTGGCAGATGGACTGAAGTTCTTAGTAGTCTCAGAAGTCCTAAATATCAACCTGGATTCTTGTTTCATGCTAGTGCAGATTTTTTCCCTTTTAAGTCGTTATCCAACTAATAAAAAAGAAGCGGAAGGCCCTTTATTATCTTCACAGAACAAACAACCATGCTCCCGTCAGTTGTCTTACTGTGGTTCTGTCTTGAGCATGCATAGCCTTCTTACTGCCATGTGGTCTAGTAATCAATCATGTTTTATCCGAAAAGGGATAGAATGTTGTTCGACACGTTATACTTCAAAAGATCTGATGACGTCCTTTTATATGTTCCATAGTTTCGGGAAGGGTGCTCTGGAATGGTGCTCCCATGGCCAGATACCTTCTCTTGTTTCTTATTCATTTCCAGTTTAATTTAATTAATTGATCACCTTTGCATAGTAATAGTTACGAAGAAATTATTGGAAAACTACTCTACACTGGTGATTATCACATCGACTGGCTGTTTTCTTATTCAGCTTGAGACCATATTTGTTTTACTTCTATCCTCATTTCTGCTTTTAGATAACCTTCAGAGGGCTTTATTGTATATTTTTATTTATAATTATCTGTGTTCCCCTGCAGTTGTTGTAGAAAGTTGCTGATGGAGGCAAAGGATGTCCGAAGAGTGAATGATCTCTGCAGCAGGATCTACCTGAGCCACAAGATCCTCAGCTCAACTGAGAAGTACCTAAACCTCCACGAGGCTGTAGGCTCTATTAAGAGGAAGTTGGAGGATGAAGTTGGAGTACTAAACAACCTTCCATTCAATATGTCTCATTCACTAGTCCGGCGCCTTCCTGTTTATGATGAAGTCCTAACCCTTTGTTCTCATGCAATAAATTTATTGGACTCGCTGCCTCTCACACCTCCACGGTTCAATCACATTGAATTACAGCATTGTGAAGCTGGTGCAACAAGTGAGGCAATAAAACCCCAGAATAGAGAAGCTGAAGCAGCAAATGTCGGGACGGAGACCCAGAATTGTGAAGCTGAACCAACAAATGAGGCAATTGAACCTCAGAATTGTGAAGCTCAAGCAACTAATGAAAGTAACCCGGAAGTAGGTATCAGTGCTCAAGTTTCAGTGCTAAAAGATCAGAATTGTGAAGCTCAAGCAACTAATGAAAGTAACCCGGAACTAGGTATCAGTGCTCAAGTTTCAGTGCTAAAAGAAGACAAGTCTGAGAGGAAGAAAACAGTGATGATAGACTTGAATGAGTTGCCTGAGAACCAGAGAGAGAATGATAATTCAGCTGATGGGAAACTTGAGCATGGTGCACTGCAAACAGTGAAAAATGAAGAGAATTATATAGATACAGTGTTCAGGAAGACCGTAAATGCGATTAGAAAGTTGGAATGTGATGGGTATATAGAGAAAAACTTCAGGATGGAGTTTCTCACATGGCTCAGTATCCGGGCAACAATAAAGAATGCAATGCTAGTTGGTGTGTTTATTGACACATTTTCTGATGATCCTCATAGTCTTGCGGAGCAGTTAGTCCATACCTTTGGGGAGGAAGTTAGCAGCAAAAAACCTCGCAAGCAACTGTGAACTGATCGGAATGATGGGTATGTACCAAAGCATTTCTTAATGAAACTTTTGTTTAATAAATTATCTTTTAAATTCTCGGTAAATAGATTTCGAGTGAAATGATAGTAGCTTTTCATCATCCTATTGTTACATTCATATGCTTATCTGTTTTATCTATAATAGTTTATGATATTTTTTTGATGTGGCTTTTTTGATGAAACCGAAACCCCTTTCATCTAATGTAAAATTCTCACTGTTATAACAGTTGCTCGCGGGGTAATATATGACCTTTCCAAAAAAAGTGCAAAGAACTATGAACTTATTCGCTCAAAAAAGGAAAGAAAGAAATATGAGTTTACTAAACCAACGATTGTCTGATGCAGGAGCTTGAACTTCTTCCTCTTGTCTTTTGCTCCTTTGGATCCAAGGTGGAGGTTCAGATGTTCTTGGAGTTTATTTTCGGTTGCATTAGCTAGAATAAATTAGCTGCGTCATTAAGCTCTCAGACCATTTTCCTTGTGCAGGAGGGAGGTTTGTTTGGTGCTTATGTTTAAGCGTGGTTGTGTTGGACTCTTGTATAAAATTCACAACATCAAGTCAAGTTCTTTGATTACTTTAGTTGTCGGAGTAGAAGCTTTGAGTAGAACAGGTGCTTGCCTGGTTCTCCTTCTACATTTGACTTGATGTTTTGCTTTGCTTAAGTTCTGGTTATGTTCGTTTCAGTACTTTCTGGGACAAAGATGAATATTGATAAAATGCCCTTGCTTCTGGATTGCAGTTCACCGTATTGTCTTTTCGAGATTTTTTTTTTAATTTTCCAGATATTTAACAGTACGAAAAAAAAGGAAGATCCAATCTCAGTAGAGTAACCTTATATTTAGTCCCTAGAAATTTCTTTGATGAATAATATAGTTGCATATTTGGTAATTGATATGAAGAAAATGTGTGTGATTTTTTTAATGAATGATATCATTGCTACATCATTTATCACAAAGTATCATAAATTTTTTCATGATATATTGTCTTCGTTGATAATAGTATTTTATACATTCGGCATATACTTTCTATTGGTCCTAAAAACTTGAAGAGATTCAATTTTAATTTCTATCCAGAAACGATACCTCCACATTATTTATCAAAAGAAAAAGGAAATTCTACAATATGATGTTCCCATCGCAAACCGAAACATTTTCAACGTTAATCAACTTTTCACGGACGTGTTTCTATAAGAAAATCATTCGAAGGGCAGAAGACAACTACATCTTACGCGTTGCCTACCAATACACTTAGTTGTGCGAACATAAAGAGGTCACCCCCAGCTTCTGCTCATATCCTGAGGGGAAATTGGGGGGATGGGGGACATGTCCAATTACTATCAGCAGTTCAAAGGCTTAACAAGTTACGACACGACTGGGAAAAAGCAAGATGAAAATAATGAATATCAGCAACCAATAAGAGATTGAAAAGCAGAGGAACAGGGGGGGTAAGTACACATTATATACAGCACTCTCTCTCTCTGATTCTCCTACAAAAACAACAGCAGCAGGACTGGTAACAAAATTATACAGCAGTGCCTAGTAAACATTCCACTTACCTCACAGATATGCACAATCCCATGCACACACTGATAAGTGCAACAAGCAACTAAAGACTTCAAACAAACCCAGACTCTACTAAACATGTGACCATCATCTGCTACATGACAAAATGTATAGACTCCCCTACCTCAGATTTTGGACGGATAAATATAACAACTACGGCAACTATCTGACCATTCTCTCCCCCTCTTTTTTTTTTCCTTTTCTTTTTTTTTCCTTTTTGTTTTCCCTCCTTTTTTTACCCCTCCTTTTTATGCTGATGATCATGTTCAACTATCAGCTACCACCTTATTTGTAATCAAGGGAACAATGGCTTTTTTTCCTCCTATGGAACCCCTGCATCATAAAGATGATTACAGTCCAGTCCTCTCATATGCAGAATTAGCCAATGAAAGCTCGTACAGCTCACTAAGCATCCATTCCTCTCCGGTCTGACCTCCGAGCACAATGGCTCTCGTACCTCCAACCACACAAGTACTATGTCCCCACGCAAACCTTGGAGGTCGGCCAGGCACTTTCAGTATTCTCCATGTCGGCTTCTCCTCTGTTGGGTCCAATAAATAAAGCTGAGATGCAGAGTGAAGTCCAGCCACTGACCCACCAAAGATCAAGATCCTACCACCCGGCAAGCTCACAGCAACATGGTCAAGTCTTGGTGGTGGGCAGATACCAGCAGGGTTCCCAGCACCAGGCATCCCACTCCCAGTAACATATCTCCAACATGGCTCCTCCTCACTTAAGTCCAATGTGAACACATCACTTGATCGAAGACGGAGGGGTCCGCTCTTGGCAAGACCGCCAAACATCAGTATTTTCCGAGTGCCATAGACAGATAAGGAGTGGCCTAATCTTGAAGGAGGAGTCCATGAAACAGGTACCTCCCTCCAAATGGGTCTCTCCATTGTCAGATCCAATAAGAATGTGTCACTTAGAAGCACACCCGAATCTGCACACCCACCCGATACCACAAGCTTGGTACCGTCGAGGGTGCAAGAACTATGCCAAGATCTAGGGAGAGGAGGTGCTACTCCGGATATCTCACGCCAGGCTGGGTGTTTTGCATCAAGATCCAAGATGAAGACATCATTTAGTAAACCTTGTCTTCCACACCCACCAAATACCACTAACCATGATCCATTCAGGCAAGATAAGGTATGGCCCCACCGGCCTGGAGGTGGAGAACTCACCTTGACATGTCTCCACTCTGGAGTGCTAGAATTCAAATCAAGAACAAAGGTGTCGTTCATCGGTTGCATGTTGACGCCTTCACCACCGAAAAGAACAACACGATTTCCAACAGCACAGGCACTAAAATTGCAGCGAGATGGCTCCACAGCACCCCGGACTGTTACTTTTCTCCATGCTACAGCTTCAAGGGTGGTCAGCTCTCTAGCTAGCCTTCTCCAGCCTAGCCTTTTTGCTGCCGGCACAGCTTCTAAGGCACGAGTTGTCTCACTAGCCCATGCATTCTGGCAAACCATTTTCCAGAGGTCCTCATTCTTTGATAGCTGGTGAAGACGCTTGCACACTGAACCCACTGATGCTATATCTCTTGGGGCCAACCTCGAAAGAATTTTATGAGACAATACCTCATCGCTCAGTTGAAACATGCTACAAATTTCACGGCAAATATTTTCAGCATGCGCTACCATGACTGGCCTGTGAAATGCATCAGAAGTGAACCGAGTCGGAAGTTTTGTCTGATCCTTTGTGAAAGAACCGGGAGGTGGACCCAAATCAACATTTGCTTCAGTGAAGAATTGAATACCAAGAAAATGGGTTATTTCACCATCCCCGTATATAGGGGTCAGCTGCAGTCTGTTCATTAATGGAGAGCCATCCTTTCTAAAATTCAACAGATCACCCTGAAATGGTATGCCATTCTCAAGGCACTTTCTTATTTCAGAAACTTTTGTTGAGTCCACCAATGGATGCCGCCTCTGAGCAAATGGACCTCTACATTGCAAGAATCGACTGAAACAAGAAATTAACTCAAACTTCAGTTTTGAATTCAAATAATATTTTAAGAGAAAAGAATATGCCCCTGACAAGTTATGGTCGTTAAAGCAAGGGATTAATATTAAGAACATGTTCACAGAGAGAAAATATCATATGAAATATAATGATATGAACAAAGCCAACGAAACTGCGAGAAATGTGTTGATAACATTATCATACAACTTAAATCTGAAAGCTAAGTCTACTACATGAAAGCTTCCTGGCAAATATAAATAACAACAGTGACAAACAAACATCATCCGGAGGGTAAGCAATAGACTGAATTACTATTCATAATTCATTTTAATGACGCATAATATTTATTCTGAAGCAAATGACAGGCAAAATAAAGATTAGTTTCCTACAAGATCTATGGTGCAACTAAGAAAAAGAAACTCAAGTCTTCAATTTGGTAAGCATCTGCAGTTTATCTAGAATCGTAATTAAATGATCTGTTTATGTGGTTGCTTGGTAACAAAACATTCTGTTTGTATTGAACCACACCACATCAAGAGAATTTAAACCTAAACTAGGACAATAAAAAGGACAATGTCGTCCAAAAGAGACAAAGACGGAAGTCCTAAAAGCACATGTACTAGGGTGGACACCAAGAAACAAATAAATGCAAAATCCCAAAGGCTAACAAGTCCCATCAGAAACATATAATATCCATAATAACAGCATTGTATAGCTTTTGTGACTTCATTGTGCTATTTTGCAACGACAGATTACTTTTGTGTGTTTCTGCCAATCATACACTGCACGGCAGTAATAGGACAGTACAGTAGTAATAGAAGACACAATAACACATATATATTTCTTATAGATCCCTTTACATATATCACTATCAGAGCAACAGTAGAATTTATATCTGTTCCCAGTCACACTAAAATGATTCTGCTAAAACATTCTGGCTCAGGGATTTAAATATAAAAAGTTGGTCTCAATGTGTCCCATCAATATATTGCCTTAGAGATGCCACAAAGAAATAAGCTAGAGATTAAAGCAAGGTTAATATATTAATAGTTCTATAGCACATCAATTAAAATCTAATTTAACAAATTTCTAGATAAATATTAATAAGACGTACTAAGAAAAGAGAAAATCATTAGAAGAGAGTAAATATAGAAGAAATGAGAGTAATGAATGACACAAAGCATAGATTACAAATATAAAAAGAAGAAGAAGAACTAAAAATGAAAAAACACTAAAAAGATTCCAATCCCCAAAAAATGTGGTTTAAGCACCTTGTTGAAGTGTTGAATCATCACTTGTCTGGTCACTCTCTTAATAAAAAATTAAAAAAAATCTGAAGTCATTATTTGTGTTACTCAGTATGTCTCTGGCACCCCTATGCTTGGCTTTGATATGACATAAACATGGTTAACGTGGAAGATGAAGACAAATATTATGAGTACTATGTGGAAGAGGATTATATATCCGAAGATGATAACCTATATGATACTATGATGTTGGAGGATGATGATGAATAAACCTAAGTCTACAACATTCGCAGAATATGACTTATATTATTTTGTGATTTGTAGCAATGTGCTCATATGATATTGTGGACATGTCACATGTTAAAACTTGAAAGTTCAAACTTTACTGCTTAAATTACTTGTCAATTACTATTTCATTTAGATGATTTATGTCTCGACACTAGCTACTTTTAATAGTCTGTGAGACGTTAGGTTGTGATTCATCTGGCTTGTGAATTGTTGTAGTTTGTTAATGTTGAACCTTATCTGTATTTTTCTAAATATTTTGAAAATTTATCGCTTTGCTCCACTCCTTCGATCACCTTTTGGCGCCTCTTGCTTCAGACAACTTTCACCTTTCACCGTCTTGACTTTAAGAACACAACATCTTGACTTCGCCTGTTGCCTTTCAAAATGATGACTTGTATGATACTGATTGCCTTTTGCTTTAAGGAATGATTATTGAGATTCTTAATATGAGTAGTACATCGGGATGTGAGAAAATTTGGGGAAGTTAAGTCTGTTAGTAAAAATAGTTATTGCTAATATATCTACGCTGTTTGGTAGTTTGGCACATTATATTGGTTCCTTTTTTCCTCTAAATTTTCATCATATCCATACTAAGAAAAGGATTTCTTAGCTCTAGTAGCTCTCTACTTCAAGTTAACCCACTAATGCGCATTTGTAAGCGTTAAGCAATATGGGGCACGCACTCCAAGCACAAGGTGCTATTGCACACCGCAATATCTCCCCGCACCTAATGCAGGAGACACTCCTTATAAATTTGTATGCTTGATAATGCTCCGTTGTGTTTCGTGCTCTGCATTAGGCAAGTATGTGTCCTTTTTCTCCCCAGTTGACCCAATTGGATAAAACAATCTTCAATCCCTAATTCAGTTGCTTCTCTTTCTCCCCTTCTCCCTTTCTTCTTCCTCCTTTCTCCTTTTCTTTCTCAATTCTTTGTGCATAGACTTCATTGTTTCTAAAAAAATAAAGCCTAATTTTAATGGGGTACGCTCCTTGCTTGCACCTCCTACTTCTAGCAATCAGGGTTTTTTTAACGAGCTTATAAGTTATAGCTTATAACTATCTGATTACGATAGTGGGTCTAGTGTCAAGCTAACATATGCTCGAGGAAACAGTGCATTCGAGATCAATTTCATCCCGAAGCCTGACCATAGTCTTAAGCTAGATAACGCAGAAAGTTGCAGATATTTCAAGGCTCCGGCAGCCGACAACCTCATACCCAGAGATAATTTATCAAAACGTCGGCGGAAAACAAAGTGAGGGTCAGCTACATGAGCTCAACCAAGGTAAATTGAGGTCCATACATGAACCAGACAGTGGATATAAAAGTAGGAGAGACCACAAACGAAGGGGGAACGTAGCTTAAGTTAGGGTTAGGGTTGAGTCTACACAAAAATTGCTTGCGTGACGGACATTCGATTCGTAGCAATTTCATACAAAACGCTGCATCAGCATCATCGTCAAATCCGAAACCCTAACCAACCTAATCCATTAGAGAAAAAGAGAGAAGGGAAGAAGAAAAAAAAATACTCACCAGTTCCTTCCGAGGACCTCCTCAGCTCGATACCCCGTCCCCTTCTCAAACCCTTCGTTCACGTATATAATCGGCCGGTCAGGCTCGATCGCATCGGTAACAACAAGTCCGTACGACACCGGCACCGGAATCCCGGGGAAGAAACCCTCGTCGATCGAGAACTCCCCGCAGTCGCCGGCGCCGGTCGAGAATCCCTCGCTGGAGTCCTCGAGATCGCTGTCCCACTCCATGGACGGAAACCCTAGCCCTAGCCCTAGCCCTCGCCCATGAAAAGAAAAACGAGATCGATGGAAGGGGAGGAGAGAGAGAGAAAGAGAGAGGGAGACGGGACGAGTGGATGTGGAGGAGAGAGCTGGGTGTCGGAACGAGAGAAAATGAAGCCACGGACCGACCTACCGATTGCCTTATTAAAAAAAGTTTTTGCCTTTTTTTTCTCTTCTACCCGACCCGCTTTTTACTTACGGGTCGGGTTTCGGGTCAGGTTATCTATCCATCCGTCCGTCCGTCCGTCCATAAAAACCAGGAAAAGAAAAGCGGGGGAGAAAATAGTTGCCTCTTTCTTGCGGTTATGATAACCTTTCCCTCTCTTTCTCGCCCTTCCCTCCCCTCCCATTCCCTCTCATGTCCTCTCCTCACCTCCGTCCGTCGAATTCCGCCGTATCCGGCGGAAATATTCTCCGCGGAGGCAGAGCGCCGCCGTCCGCCTCCCCTTACCTCCGTCCTGAAGCACCGCCCCGTCCTCTTGAGGACCAACCGAGGCGCGGCGCCACGTGGATGTCCAGCGTCGTCGCTGGCGCCGGAAGGCTCATCTCTTACGTCTTCAAATCTGATAGCCCCTCGTCCTCCCATTCTTGCTCGTATTCGTGTGTTTTTTTTTTTTTTTTTTTGCTTTCAATTAGCATCTGTAATATAACTTATTTGTGATTAAATTACCTTGCAAATATGTGGTTGATAAAATAAAAATAAATAAAGCCTAAAGCATATAGAATTTCCGTGATTTTTTCTCGTGTGGCGTGCTCGGCATTATAAAGGTAATTAATCGTTGTTGGTTGTTTGTACTTCTTGTGTTCATCTGCCAAGAGAATGCTGATAGCTATGTTGCTCGAAAAAAGTAAGCTTGATTGCAATTTCTCTTCCGTAACAGATCTCCACCATACTGGATCAGTCTTGTTGTATATATGTTTTATGATAACCTCTCGTGATTAGTTGCTGGTCTCGTGCAGGTGGAGATGAGGATGTGGATGTGACTTTTAAAGAATGTGATGTACCAAAGCAGGTGTTCTAGTGATTTTTTTCAACTCACACGGTCCTCTTTAAGTTTCTTTTATGCTCCGGAGATGTCATAACTTTTGTTGTCGCTAAATCATCATAGTGGCAAGCGCTTTTTGTTTTTTGTTTCATCTTTTATTACAAAAGGAAACAAAAAAGAAGAAGGAAAAAGAAAAGGCTTGGTTGTCTGTTTTAATGATTTTTGGACTCTTGATGCATATGCAATCAGAGAGAGAGGATGTCCGAGCCAGTGAAGGATTGCAATGGAGCATCTGTAGCTATTATTTCAGAAGTTGAACCCAAACAGGCTATAGAGCAATTGCTTATGCAGGAGACCTTTTCAAGGTAGGTGAAGCTGTGATTACGGCTTTATTTTATTCCCTCTGCTTTCTTTTACACACACACGCACACGTGCGCGCGCACACACATGCGCCCGCACACACACACATATATTATTTGCATTCGGAGCAATGTTCTTTTGCCATAAAAATATCAAAAAATTTAGACATAATGGATTTTGACTCAAACTCTTCTTAAGACAATGATATGATCTTGTTTCTGGAAAACATTGTTCAGCTGGAGACTATAACTAAATAACGCCTTATCTTTTTCTAACTTCTTTTAAAGTTCATATCAAAAGAATAACCATCATCGATCATCAAAGTTTTTTCACATCAAAATGTGGGTAAAGCTGTTAAATACAATATGTTTTTTCACATAAAAATGTGGGTAAAGCTGTTAAATACAATATGTTATCTTTCTACTTCTTTTCTCTTCTACCCCTACTTCTTGATGTATATTTTATCTATTTTCTCTAACTAATAAATTATATAGGCATGTGCCCGGTTACTAAAAAAATTTAAATAAAACTATAAGTCAAACATGTTCCAGATGTGCCAAATTCCTTGTCATGAAAAAATAAGATAACTGTTAGACTTTGTCATAAGCGAAAAGGAAGGTTTTGAAGGGAAAGATACGGAGTTAAAGTTATCTCTACTAAGGAAAAAACCTTCTGGAGGCTGGATTTCTCCTACAAGTAAAGGGAGTTGAGGGAAGACTTTATTTATTTATTTAGTTATTCATTCACTTACTATGTCACACCAAATCTGTATCACAGTACCACCAATTTGTCTCTTGGCAGCCGGTTTATGGGAATGACCTGTCAGCTTATATTGTATATTTCATTATGTATACAGTTTTACCGTGTGAATTTAAATTTTATTGAAAAGATAAATGTACTTTTCTGCTTATATTGTGTTTTAGATGTCAATTGTCTGACTCTGACTGAGTTCTTTGTTTCTGTTTCCAGGGATGAAGGTGAAGAACTAATTAAGTTAGTCGAGTCACGAGTTGTGGAAGTTGTCAAGGATGAAATGCATAAGGAACCGGACAGGACCACAGACAATGTTGTGGCATCTCTGAGAACTTGGAAATATCTAAACCTATCGAGGAAACTACCAGAAGCAGTCTCAAATCCTTCTGGTAATCTAAATGCTAACTCTCCAGGATATCCTGCTTTCCAAGTTCCTGAAACTGAGTTACATAATTCAGCTGTTATAAAGGCAAAGAAATGGTTGGAGGATAAAAAGGTTGCTTCAAGCTCAAGAGTTGATTTTGACTGTAGAGCTTGCACTTTTGATACTAATATGCTTCAAAAAGTAAGTGCCTGTTTTTTCTCTCTTCTTTCATCTCTCAGATTGATGTGTTCTTCATGGCTCCTTTTGAATGTGGTGATAGATTATTGCTCATGGTGCACTCTGTTTGGGATTGGGAAATTCTTTTTTCCGTTTATCATGAACTCGGTAGCACTTTCTGCGCATTATCCTCAGTCATGAGGATTGCTTTGTGAAAACTGACCTTTAAATGATTCTAAACAGCATTACATATTATATTTTAGTGGTGATTACTAAGTCTTTGTCTGTTTTGTCGGTTGTTTCTGATTTAGATGTGTAATGCCAAAGGCATGCAGGTCATTTTCTTCTTTTACATTCTTTTGTTCGTGATTTTTCATAGCGTCTTAAGATGGATCGTGCAATGTTCTTTCTGGAATGATATGTGTTACTTTATTATGCCTCTAATAAGGTGTTGTACGACCATGCCAGTTGATGAGTGGGGAAGTTTACCTTATTGATTACGTCGCTTAAGCTCATAATCATTGAAAACTTTTTTGAAACTCATGCAAATCAATGGGCAATTTGTCTAATTATTCTTTCAACTAGGAAACACTCTAAAAAGGGTAAAGGCTGTCAGTTTGCTATTAGTAATGTCTTCATTCCTAGGTACGATAAAAGTTTAGCTATATAAAGTCACAGGAGATAGAGACCAGTTTCTTTCTTAAATCCTTTTTTAGGGGTGAATTCCTCTGCTTCTTCTTTCGCTTTCATACGTCTGCAGTTACAACCTAAAAATAGAGGGAGCAGATTGTAATTAGACAGCTTCAATATTCTCTGAATATCCAGATCGCAATTGTCCTTGTTAGTCAAAGAATGTGTGCAGACCACCGAAAGCACACAAAAGAAAGTTTTTTTTTGTCAAACTTCTCATGCCACCGAAAGAGCCTTTGGCTCTTTCGGCTTTGTCAAAATTCTCATGCCACCGGAAAATCAGAAGAGGATAGGTGAGCGGGTCCCAGAGCAAGAAAAAATTGTACGTGGGCCCCACCGCGGGCCCCACCACTAATAAAATATTAGTGCATAGTATTTTCCCAAACACTATAAATAGACCTCAAACTCTTAAGGAAAATCTCATCCCAGAAACAACTCCTCTTATAGAAGAACAAGAGAGAAAAGAGAGGCTTAGAGAAAAGTCTTTGTGAGAGAAAATTGTGAGCAATTTTCAGAGTGGGATTGAGTTGTGAGAAAAATTGAGAGTGTTGTAAAATTTCTCCCAAATAGTGAAAGATCTGCAGCAGCCCGTGGACGTAGGCAATTTTGTGCCGAACCACGTAAATCTTGCGTGTCCCCCAATTTTGCGCAATTTATTTTTCGCTTTCTCTCAAATCTGGCAATAGGGGAATCAGGGTAATTTCCCAACAACTGGTATCAGAGCTCTGGTTGTGACGTCTGTCAAATTTCTGCAAGGTTACTATTCACGTGAATAGTAAATTTCGTGAATAGTGGAATTTTGCCGGCGGTACTGACTTGTCGGCAGAGGTATCTTAATACAAGGTGGTTCGCAGAAATTGTCAGAAACGATCCAGAGGAAGTCAGATTCGAGTGGGAGCGATGGCTGCAGACGAAGGGAAGGTAAAAATTGAGAAGTTCGATGGTGCGGACTTCGGCTTTTGGAAGATGCAGATCGAAGACTATCTGTACCAGAAGAAGCTGTATCAACCTCTCTCGGGAAAGAAGCCAGATGATATGAAGGATGAAGAGTGGGCTCTCCTCGACAGACAAGCCCTTGGAGTTATCCGATTGACGCTATCCCGAAACGTTGCCTTCAACATAGCAAAGGAAAAGACCACGGCGGGTCTTATGGCGGCTCTCTGCAGCATGTACGAGAAGCCCTCTGCCTCAAACAAAGTTCACTTGATGAGGCGGCTGTTCAATTTGCGAATGACGGAAGGCGCATCGACAGCTCAACATCTCAATGAACTCAACATAGTCACAACCCAGTTGAGTTCAGTTGGGATTGAATTTGATGAAGAAGTACGAGCATTGATACTTCTTTCTTCTCTACCAGAAAGCTGGAACGCTACAGTCACGGCTGTGAGTAGCTCATCGGGAAGCAACAAGTTGAAGTTCGATGACGTTCGTGATCTGATTCTTAGTGAAGAAATTCGACGGAGAGAATCAGGTGAAGCTTCAACCTCCTCAGCTTTACACACGGAGTCTAGGGGAAGAACTTCAGAAAGAAGTTCAAATCACGGCAGATCAAAATCTAGAAGGAGCAAATCTAGATCAGGAAAGAAAGATTTCAACTGCTATAATTGTGACAAGAAGGGTCATTTCAAGAGGGAGTGCCGGGCACCGAAGAAAAATACCGGCGCACAGGAGTCTGCCAACGTGACCGAGGAAGGAGGTGATGCTATGATTCTAAGCGTCAACAGTCCAATTGAATCATGGATTCTTGATTCAGGGGCATCTTTCCACAGGTACATCTAGCAGATGATGAAACCTTGAAGATTGTTGGCAAGGGAGACATTCGATTAAAATTGCTAAATCAGACCACATGGAGGCTGCAAGGAGTAAGACATATTCCTGGTCTTAGAAGGAATTTGATCTCTGTGGGACAGCTTGATGGAGAGGGTTATTGTACAACCTTCTCGGGTCATGAATGGAAGATTACCAAAGGAGCACTCGTCATTGCTCGAGGTAAGAAGAATGGTACTCTCTATATAACCTCTAACTTAGAGAATATCATTGCAGTAACAGATGCAGATAAAAAATCAAACTTATGGCACCAAAGGCTTGGCCATATGAGCGAGAAAGGGATGAAGACACTTCTGTCAAAAGGGAAGCTACCGGATCTGAAGAATGTAGATGTCGGCCTATGCGAAGATTGCATCTTTGGCAAACAGAAGAAAGTCAGTTTTGCAAAGATTGGCAAGACACCCAAGACAGAAAAGTTAGAATTAATTCATACCGACGTATGGGGACCATCTCCAGTTTCATCTCTTGCAGGCTCACTGTACTATGTCACCTTCATCGATGATTCTACAAGGAAGGTGTGGGTTTATTTTCTGAAGAAGAAATCAGAAGTCTTTGATACCTTCAGAAAATGGAAGGCCATGGTGGAAAATGAAACTGGTTTGAAGATAAAGAAGTTGAGGTCAGACAATGGAGGAGAGTACAAAGACAGTAGATTCAAAGAGTTTTGCGCAAACAGCGGGATCAAGATGGAGAAAACAGTTCCCATGACACCGCAGCAGAATGGCGTAGCAGAGCGCATGAACAGAACTTTGAATGAACGTGCCAGAAGCATAAGGTTACATGCCGGCTTGCCCAAGTTCCTATGGGCTGAAGCTATCAATACCGCAGCCTACCTAATCAACCGTGGACCCTCAGTTCCCTTGGATGGTGGAATACCGGAAGAAGCTTGGAGCAAAAAAGAGGTAAACCTTTCACATTTAAGAATTTTTGGTTGTATCTCTTATGTACACATAGATTCTGCTGAAAGAAGTAAACTTGATGCCAAATCTAACAAATGTGTTTTTGTTGGTTATGGTGGTGATGAGTTTGGTTACCGATTTTGGGATTATGAAAATCGGAAGATCATCAGAAGCAGAGATGTCATATTCAATGAGAATGTGATGTACAAAGACAGATCAACTGCAGAATCAAGTAGCTCCAGTACAAAAGCTGAAACAAAGGAATTTGCTGAATTTGAGGAGATTTCTGAAAATGATGTTCAAACAAGCCCTGAAGCAGTTCAAGAAGAACCAAGCACGCCAGAAGTGAGACGCTCCTCCAGAATTCCTAAGCCAACCCAGCGTTATTCGCCTTCTTTGCACTATCTGTTGCTGACTGACAGTGGTGAACCGGAGTGTTATGACGAAGCAATACAGGTGAAGGATTCAGTCAAGTGGGAGTCTGCTATGCAAGATGAGATGGACTCGCTCATGTCAAATCAGACATGGGACTTAGCTGAATTACCACAAGGTAAGAAAGCTCTTCATAACAAATGGATTTACAGGATCAAAGAAGAACATGATGGGAACAAACGCTACAAGGCAAGGTTGGTTGTCAAAGGCTTTCAGCAAAAGGAAGGTATCGACTACAATGAAATTTTTTCTCCGGTTGTGAAACTAACTACAATCAGATTAGTGTTGAAAATTGTAGCTGCTGAGAATTTACATCTTGAGCAGTTAGATGTAAAAACAGCTTTCCTTCATGGTGATTTGGAGGAGGAGATCTATATGAAGCAACCAGAAGGCTTCATGAAGGCAGGCAAGGAAAATCTAGTATGCAGGTTGAAAAAGAGCTTGTATGGATTGAAACAAGCTCCCAGACAGTGGTACAAGAAGTTTGACAACTTCATGGGCAGCAACGGTTTCACTAGATGCCAAGCAGATCATTGTTGCTATATCAAGAGGTTTGACAATAGCTTCATTATTTTATTGTTATACGTTGATGACATGCTCGTTGCAGGATCAGATCTGCAAGAGATTATAAATTTGAAGCAGAAATTGTCAAAACAGTTCGCGATGAAAGATCTTGGTGCTGCAAAACAGATTCTTGGAATGAGGATCAAGAGAGACACGAAGTCTAGAATCTTGATGTTATCACAGGCTGAGTACATCAACAAAGTACTCTCCAGGTTCAACATGCAAGATGCAAAACCAGTGGGTACACCTTTAGGTGTTCATTTCAGACTTTCTAAAGAACAGTCATCGAAGACAGATGAAGAGCGTGCACACATGGCGAATGTCCCGTACGCCTCAGCAATTGGAAGTCTAATGTATAAGAGCGTGCACACATGGCGAAGGTCCCGTACGCCTCAGCAATTGGAAGTCTGATGTATGCCATGGTCTGTACAAGACCGGATATTGCTCAAGCAGTGGGAGCTGTTAGCAGGTACATGAATGATCCGGGCAAGGTACACTGGGAAGCAGTCAAATGGATCCTCAGATATCTACGAGGCACTACAGGTAAAGCACTTTGTTTCAAAGGTGGAGATACAATACTAACAGGCTATGTAGATGCTGATCTAGCAGGAAATGTTGATATCAGAAAGAGCACTACAGGGTATGTATATACTCTAGGAGGTACTGCAGTGAGTTGGGCTTCTCAACTGCAGAAGATAGTTGCTCTCTCCACAACTGAAGCAGAATATGTCGCTGTTACAGAAGCCAGCAAGGAAATGGTGTGGCTTCAAAATTTCTTGGATGAATTAGGCAAGAAACAAGAAGACAATGTCTTATACTGCGACAGTCAAAGTGCTATTCATCTAGCGAAGAATCCGTCTTTCCATTCCAGAACGAAGCACATACAGATGCGGTATCATTTTATCCGGTCACTTCTGGAAGATGGAATTTTGAAGCTTGAAAAGATCAGTGGAGCTCAAAATCCGGCAGACATGCTGACAAAGACGGTGACTATTGACAAACTGAAGCTGTGTTCAGCTTCAGTTGGCCTGCAATAGTATGAAGACCGGGAAGATCTGCTGCATAGATCGAGATGTGAAGACAGATTAAAATCAGTCTTCAAGTGGGAGATTGTTAGTCAAAGAATGTGTGCAGACCACCGAAAGCACACAAAAGAAAGTTTTTTTTGTCAAACTTCTCATGCCACCGAAAGAGGCTTTGTCAAAATTCTCATGCCACCGGAAAATCAGAAGAGGATAGGTGAGCGGGTCCCAGAGCAAGAAAAAATTGTACGTGGGCCCCACCGCGGGCCCCACCACTAATAAAATATTAGTGCATAGTATTTTTCCAAACACTATAAATAGACCTCAAACTCTTAAGGAAAATCTCATCCCAGAAACAACTCCTCTTATAGAAGAACAAGAGAGAGAAAAGAGAGGCTTAGAGAAAAGTCTTTGTGAGAGAAAATTATGAGCAATTTTCAGAGTGGGATTGAGTTGTGAGAAAAATTGAGAGTGTTGTAAAATTTCTCCCAAATAGTGAAAGATCTGCAGCAGCCCGTGGACGTAGGCAATTTTGTGCCGAACCACGTAAATCTTGCGTGTCCCCCAATTTTGCGCAATTTATTTTTCGCTTTCTCTCAAATCTGGCAATAGGGGAATCAGGGTAATTTCCCAACAGTCCTCTGATATTTCTGTAGATTAAAATGCTAATACTTGATACCAATATCTTACCTGCAAAAGTGTGTTAATGTAAGCTGGCAACCCAACCATGCAACTTCTATAATGCTAGTTTAACGTTGATATTCAATGGCATATGCAGGATTTTGGAGGTGAAGAAGGTTCGCCTGTAGACTTGGCTAAATCATACATGCAATCAGTGTCTCCATGGAGATCATCTTTGAGAAGTATCAGGTTCGAGAAAACACCATGTACTGGAATGCACCTTTACAATGATGAAGCACCTTCCACAACTCCTAATTACTCAATGTCGTCATCCAAGGTACCCCATATAACAATTATTCTCATGTCTCAGAACAGAAGTTTGACAAAAAAAATGTATGTGAAATTACATAGTTTACTGTTATGAACAGCTGACAATAGTCAGAAGTCAGAACCTTATAGCAATGCATAATTACATGACATAATTGATCAAAACAGTTTAACTCCCTTGATTACTCGTTAGCATTTCATGACTGCATAACATCATTGCTGCTTGCTTCTATTATATTTTTTCTTTAGTTTAGCACTGTTAGGTTGTGTCCTTACCCAATTTGATGATAACTGACATGAGATTATTGCCTAAACAGGCTATTCTTCTGACCCTGAGCCCTTGAGTTCTCTAGTTTGTCAACAGAATTTGTATATCACTATATGAGATAATTCAAGTTAGGCCATCATTTTAGATGCTGATCATGCATGTGTATGCAAGAGTGCGTGTATGTATGTGCATTCACATGCACATATGTGCATTGTGGTTCTTGGCAACAGCATCATGTACTTTTAGCTTTTCTCTTTACTCCAGAAGCAAAATTCTGTTATTCTATAAATATACTCAAGCTTGTAATAGTTGGTGGCACAGTAATCAGAGGCAAGAAAATATTTCTTTGAAGCTCATCCTTTAACTAGCACGATGACATAAATGTATCATATTCTTTAATGATATTTGTTTGATTCATTTTCCCTAACTCCTAAGCAGGGCTTGAAGAGGGACCATCCTTCCTGTGGACTGCATGATTTGGTTGATGAAAGCCGAAGAGTACGGCTGAAATCAACAGATGGTGCCTCAGACAATTCCAGTTTTAAACTGATTAATTCATCAGAAAGAAATTCAAAAGATGAAGCTTGCATAACCTCATATGCAGCTGAGAAACACATTCATCACAATTCAAGTAAGTATGCTGCTTCATTATCTTTATATGCGTCTGCTGATTTTCTATACACTGGGTTACCTGATGAAAGAACTGGTGAAGTAAATTGTCCTATAGTAACGGGTAACATCATGCATGCCAACTTGTTTTAGACAATGAGGGACCTGTTGATGAAGTACAATTAATGCGTGAAACTCCATTATCTGGCACGTCCCCAAGTGTTGTAATTGCGGAGCAAGCAACTATTGGGAATGCATCACTTGCCAGTTTGCTTTCGAGAGGTAGGTCATCAGTAGGAATTGGTCCTGCTTTTCCCCATTCAGAAGAGAAACAGGTAAATATGATGTTGCTTCAGTTGGTTACCCAAAAATATGTTGGAAGCATATTAACTGATGCATAAGTGGTTATCTTATGTGACTGAAGGATGTCGAAGAGCATTGCCAGGTCAAAGTGCAGCTTGACAGTTTATCTGGCCCTTGTACTACTCCCACCCTTGCACCCACAACTAAGGAGCATGCTGGTAATTGCTCACTCAAGAAGTCTGTTTTGCATCAGATAAAGTTTAGACGTGAAGTTTATTGAACTAATGATTAGTCCCTTTAGATGCTTTTGCTCAGAAAATCATTTCAATGCTATCAGCATTTATCAATTAGTTATTGGCATTTTTATTCAGATGATCACTCAGAAGCATTTTTAAATTCGGAAACAATGTGCAACTAGTATACATTCACCGTGTGGTTTCTCATGGGATGTATTGTTTGCATGGTGACGATGAACAAAATCTAGATTATCCGTAATGACTGGGTTGACGCCCTGTTTTTATTCATCATAACTTGAAGCCACAAGTAGATTGTTAATCTGTTAGGAATAATTAGACATAATCATGGCGAAAAGGTTTTGCATTTATTATTGTTCTTCTTCTTCTTCTTTCATAGAAATATTGTGAATCTCTGAGCCACTTTTAATCATTCTATGATATGTTTTCCTCATGATATGCTTTAGGCTTGATGGAGCAAGATAGAATTGATACGATACAAGATGGAGCCGTGCAAAAGCAAGAGAAGAAAGATCAGATTCAAGATGAATCAAATAGATTGAGAATTTCGGCCGATGGGTAAAATATATTTTAATTGAACAACATGTCATTTTCTATTGAACAATATTGAAATTTAATCTGACAGAAGACACTTTTTTTTTATTTAGACCATCAGCAGGATTAAGCACAGGCATAAATGTTGCACTCGAGGAAGATCGTAGTGCAGCCAACTTCAGCAATGAAGAAGGAACATTTGAGCTTCCAAGCACGTATAATACTAAAGTTCCTGCAGCTAAAACAACCAAGAGCAAAACTAGGGCTTCATCTGGCTCTCGCGGTCGTGCAAAAATGAAATCAGTCAAGGATCCACTGTGGAAGCCTGAACCAAGCGTGAGCCGGGGAAGAGGGAGAAAGTCAGTTCCAGGTGCAAGGAGAGGGAGGGGGGTGTAAATTATACCATTTGATAGTGTAGATAGTTTCTGAGTAATAATCAAAATATTAGTGAAACCATCAGCATTCAGTATTAGAGAAGTTAAAAATGGGGGTTAGAATATGAGGGCCACACTGTACTATATGGGATGATCAAATTGCACAAGGTTTGGTGTCTAATCTTGTTATGATGTAATATTTACTTGAATGATGTGTAACACTAGATCATCTAATTATTACACTAGATCATTTGGCTACCATGAATCAGAGTTATAATTAATTATGCTTGCTGAGTGGTTGAACATCTACAATCAAAAAACAAAATACATAAAGCTTAGGGCCCGTTTGGATGGGGTATTTTGCCCCGAAAATTAGGAGGGAAGCTGCCAAAAAGCTGTCATTTTGGCAAATCTTCTCTCTCTCTCAACAATTTCTCGCTCTAAAACCTTTAATTTCTACAACAACAACTTGATTTCTTCAACATCTTCTTCCACCTTGTCAGATCTCCACTCAAAGGAACCGCAATCGTTAGTCCTCCAATTTGGGCAGCCTAGACATTATCTCTCTGGTTTACTTGCAGAATTAGATACCTATGTAATAGATCACAAATCATTAACGCATCTTCTGTCTTCCATGGGTTTCAATGAAGAAACCAACTCCCTAAAAATCTTAGATAAAAAATATTTTTTTCTAAAATTAGAAAAAAAAAACAACAACAAAGAAGGCATAAATCTTAATTTTGAAGGAACTTTTTTTTTGAAAAAAAAGACTCTGAAACCGTGTTTGTGCTCGATCTTAAGAGGACAGTCGGAGAACAAAAAAAAAGAAAATGAGAGATCTATGATTAGTGCTGAATATATTGAAAGAGGTCATAAATTGAATTTTTAATAAGTAAAAGGGCACTTTGGTCTTTTTAGTCACGTGCATTGCACATGCCAGATTAGACTTAACAGTGTTAAGTATAGGGGTTTTCTGTAAAAGTTCATTGGGGTTCAGTGCAAAATGCTGAAAGTTCATGAGGGTTTAGTGTAATTTACCCTTTTTTATTTATGAATCAAGCATGTGTATACAATCATCATTATCGTGTGTGTGTGGTACAGTTAGGACCAAAGCTAAAATCCCCTCTCGATTCCTTCCATGAACGAGAGGTCCACAAATTGAACGAGCAAACCTTTAAACAGTTAGGATCGTCTCAAGTCCCTATTTTGTCAAACCTTTAAACAGTTAGGACCAAAGCTAAAATCCCCTCTCGATTCCTTCCATGAACGAGAGGTCCACAAATTGAACGATCAAACCTTTAAACAGTTAGGATCGTCTCAAGTCCCCATTTGGTCAAACCTTTAAACAGTTAGGACCAAAACCAAAATCCCCTCTCGATTCGTTCCATGAACGAGAGGTCCACAAATTGAACGATCAAACCTTTAAACAGTTAGGATCGTCTCAAATTCCCATCTTGGTCAAACCTTTAAACAGGTAGGACCAAAGCCAAAATCTCCTCTCGGTTCGTTCCATGAACGAGAGGTCCACAAATTGAACGATCAAACCTTTAAACAGTTAGGATCGTCTCAAAACCTCTCTCTCTCTCTCTCTCTCTATATATATATATATATATATATATATATATATATATATATAGAGAGAGAGAGAGAGAGAGAGAGAGAAACTTATGTCAACTTAAGTGGACGTCCACTAAGTTTCTTAGTCATTAATGATCACTTGATTGAGCTACATTGTGGATGATCCGTTTTGTTGAACTTGATTGTATTTTTTTATTTTTCAAGGGCATTTTGTAATATTTCATTCTTATCATGGATCTGTTTGTAGTTTTCTAACTATTCAGCATGTTGTTTGTAATCTTTGGACTTAAGCGGGGTTATCTGTAACTTGCATACTTTTCAAGGGGTTGTTTGTAGTTTTTAGAAAATTTTTCAGAGATTTATTCGTGATCATAGTATTTTATCCAGTGTTTTGTTGTAATTTTTTGAAATTTAATGGGCTTTTTGAAATTTACAGATTTTCCATGAGCCAATTTGTAATTTTCACATTGAGCTCTTAGTAGTTTTTTTAAAGGCTGTTCTCTAATTCTAAAAAAAAATTTGCAGCAAAAGAATTTTAAAAGTGAGGGGCTAATCTGCATATAGAGATGATTTGAGTACTATGTAAGCGAAAAATCCTTTTTAAAGTAAAATCCTACAGTAACGTTGTTATGGGAGTTAAGTTTTGCTAATTAGTTTTTTTAATGTTTGTGTTGGATTCAAAATTTTCAAATGTGTTTAGCGTTCTTCTGATTTTTCCTTGAATTATATTTGATTATTTAGATCGAGAGAGGTGCTATCAGCTGGGTTTTTTTTTTTTTTATGGATCCTGATCTATGTCGACGATAGTTTCTCGTTTTTTTCGTACTGTTACGGGTTGATGCGAACTTTATAAGTTGTTTTGATCATGAAATGCGTGTGAGATCTTTATTTACAAATAGCATAAAGATTGATTTTTTTTTTTTGACGGATCTTTAGATCGAGCTTTTTGGGGTTGATCATGTGGAATCCCCTTTCCTGGGTGATGGTATTGGCAATCATGGCCATTGCCTTGGCCAACGATGGTGAGAAGCCCCCGGACTGATCAATCTTCATCAACTCCGCCATCAGTTTCCTTGAAGAAAACAACGCTGGTAACGATGGCTCCGAAGACCAAGGTGCACCTGAAGCTCGTTGCTATCACTTTTAATCTGATTCTAAAACTGCTGCCGCGCTAATTAAGTTAGCTCTATGGATGTAGTAGGGGGTCCTCAGAGAAGGACGCTGGAGCGGGCGAGGCGCGGCAGTTCTGGTACCTGGAGACGTCACCAGCATCGAGTTGGGGAGACATTGCCTTCTTCAGATGCTCGCCTTCTTCAGAGCGACCTGGAGTCTTGTTGGTGTCTGCATTCCTTGTTGCTCAGCTTGTAAGATTGTATTTCCCATGTTTGCTGGAAAATATCATTTTTTTCCTGACAAACGCATTTCCACCATTGGAACCTATCAACTTTTGGATTGAAAAAAAAGCAGCAGCCTAAATCGATAATAATGTATCAACAAGGAACTCTAAAAAAATTAGTTTTGTGCAGGTTGCAACACTCATAGCTGTCTATGCTGACTGGGGTTTTGCGCACACCAAGGGTATAGGCTGGGGATGGGCTGGAGTCATCTGGCTATACGGTGGTGTTACCTTCTTTCCTCTTGACTGTTTCAAATTCGCTATCCCGTATGTCCTAAGTGGAAAGGCATGGGACAACCTTCTCGAGAACAAGGTAAACATTACATTATTTTCTTTTTAATCGTAGTTGGTGGCCCAATTGAACCTCGTCTGACACTGTATGTATCATGCATGGTCTACTTTAAAACTTGCGGACCTCTTTCACTACCAAGGAGGACTATGGTAGAGAGGAAAGGGTAGTGCAGTGGGCTGTGGCACAGAGGACACTTCATGGACTCCAACCCACTGAAGTCACCAACCCCTTTACTGACCAGAACAACTATAGGGAATTATCTGAGATTGCTGAGCAGGCCAAAGCGAGCAGAGGTCGCAAGGTTCGTCATCCGTTCTCTCTTAGTCAGACTCTTTTCCCTCCCTTATTGGTTCATTGATAATGCTTTCAGAACTTTCGTGCCCAAACTTTCACTATTTCTAAATGCTTGATCATGTGTTCTTTTGGTCAGGCTTCGTGAGCTGCACACTCTCAAGGGTCATATGGAATCAGTGGTAAAGTTGAAGGGTATCGACATTTGCACCATCCAACAGCATTACACAGTGTAAAAAGAACAAACATTTGTAGAAATTTAGTCTAACTGGACATTGTTAGGGTTTGAAGGGGGGATGCCTGCTCATAAGAACGCAGAGGATGAAGAAATACTTCTTTATTTTCTCTACTGTTATACCCGCCCGCTTCACACAGCAATTCTTTTCACCCCCTTATTCCATGATCTGTGGTAAACGCTTACTTAGTTTAACATAGCTGTGCAGGATGTATATAAAATAATGCAGACCTGCTGCTATCCATGTCAATTTTCCTTTTTTTTCCTTCCCATTCTTGTGCATTACTTGTTAATTTTTCTAGTTAATTGTGACCTATCAAATAATATAATGCGAACATGTTGAAATATTACATGCTATTTGTGCATATATTTGCAATCAGAAATTATGTTATTGCTAAACTTAGCAGATATCTTGCCTTTGCCTTTCTTTCTGTTTTTTGCTGAGGATGTTCATTAGATCCTGTGATTGTGTTCCGATATCAAGACATAAGTTGGTTTGAATGATGTCCGAATTGATGAATCCTTTCTGTGCTTTTGCAATCGTGTAAATTAAAGATAAACCCCTTCTATTTAGAAGTTGAAATTGCTCTGTGCTAATGCATTTCGTGCCATCAGTTTACACGACTGTATCCACGGAAACTTGGTTGGCAACGTTATTTTGCTGAAATAAACTACTTCAAATAAAACATACCTACATTTCCCTTTGTCAGGATGTTAGGCCAGTATTCATTAAATTGATACAGCAAAAAAAAAACATTTGTTAACAGGTGGAGTAAGGTATCAACACATTTTGGCCAGCCAACCTCCCCCTGTTGTGCGCGGCGGAAGCTTTCTAGGGCAACACGAACAATAACTTGAACTAAACCACAAACAATATGCAAACCACAATCACAGCAAGAACACACAATTTACGTGGTTCGGCAAGTTGCCTACGTCCACGGGGCAAGGAGGGGGGCTTCTTTCTACTAGAAATCAAGAGAATACAAATAGGGTTACAAATCTCTCAGACCAAACCCTAAAACAAAGCTCTAGATCTCTCAAAGCTCTCTCACAATTGGATGCAATGATTCTCTCTTTCTGGCTGCTCAAATTCGTCCCACTCTGCTCTAAACAAACAGGTTTAGGTATATATAGAACTTACAAAACGAACCGGGTCGAAAACCTGAAAGCCCAGCCGTCCGGTCGACCGACCAGCTCCCAGCGGAAAACCCAAAACTCCAGAGAACCCCTCGGTCGACCGCACCGATCGACCGAAACACCTGCGGTCGCACAGTAAGCTTTGTGCACGAATGCGGTCGACCGGACCGGTCGACCGCCGCCTGGTTTGCCTGATTCTTCTGAGTTTCTGTAATTTCTTTAATTCTCCACCTCGGCGAATGTTTCCACCAAAAACTGAGCCGACACCAAATCATCCAATAGTTCCTCAACAAGTCCAGGAACAATACTCGAGCTGAAACACGATCTCCCCCCATCTTGATCAACTGATCAAACC